ATAGATATATAGATAGATATAGATATGGGTTATTAGATGATACGATAGGGCTGCATTGCGTCATAATTTCGGTCACACTGAGCGTACACAAATGTCAACGCGTATGACGTGTTGCAAGTTGGATAGCGGACAATATATCATACAATTTTCTTGTTGATGTTTTTGCTGATGATAACACCCACCAAGCTAATTATACTGCATCTCAGAAGAAGCGAGTCGGATGTCTGTGCAGCTACGTGCCATCTACACGTAATGATGTTGTAGGAAAGATCCTCGGCTACGCGACACGAATCCGCATAGCTGTAAAAAGCTCAGATTTAGATTCTAGAACACGCGTCGGCGACAGTTGTTCTAAATGGCTGTCATCAGTCAAATATGGTCCGACAATTATTATGAACTAGCACACGCGTCCGTTTACCCCTCACCCCCACCCCCACCCACACACACCCACACACCCACACACACCCACACACACCCTCCCCGCACATGAGATTCTGCACGAGCACAAATCATCCGTAGATCGGCTGTCTCATCTAACAGTGGGTTCTGACAGCAGCAGCAACAGCTGCAGCAATAGCAGCAGTAGTAGCAGCAGTAGTAGCAGCAGCAGCAGCAGCAGCAGTAGTAGCAGCAGTAGTAGCAGCAGCAGCAGCAGCAATATCAGCAGCAGCAGTAGCAGCAGCAATAGCAGCAGTAGTAGTAGTAGTAGTAGTAGCAGCAGCAGCAGCAGCAGCAGCAGCAGCAGCAGCAGCAGCAGCAATAGCAGCAGCAGCAGCAGTAGCAGCAGCGCTCCCCGTAGGTATTCATTCGTTCCCGTGACACTATATGTGAAAGAAGAGCCTACGGGGCTGATCATCCATCGTACACAATCACGTTAATCTTCGGTTATGGCCAGGTGCTTGTTTACGGTAGTACGCTCGTCAACCTGTGCTCGTCTGTTCGTGACTGTAATATAACTGCGCATTTGTCGCTCCCAGCTCTGGAAATGTCTGTACCTTTCGCAAATTGATGTACGAACAAATCTTGAGCAAGAAACTGCGTACAACATGGTGTTAATCATTCTCTGATAGATGTGGATCGGGGGATGCGCTGGGGGTCCGATGAATAAAGCTCCAGTGTAGCCAGGTGTAGCGTTATTTAATTTACGTACAACTCTGGAAATGATGTCGTTAGAGCAGTGTTTGTACATTAATTAATCAGTGTCGCGCAGAGCTCTCAAGAATTCTAGATTCTGTGAGAACACATGATTCTGTTCATGCGATTTTGGCACTTATATCATTATACTGTTTATAACATTACGCATTCTTACTTCAGTTATGTTTACAAGACTACAATACCACACTATGTTTACAAGAATAATATAATGATGACATGTGAGCGTTTCGCTTACATGCGAGTAATGCGACATGCGAGTAATTTCGCGGAATAATATTGCAGTAGCTAATATCGATGTTATCATTAAAGGCTCACAATGTGCATCCAAACGCTAATTTCTACAGTACTAGACTAGCAAATACTTCGTGGCATGAATAATCACACTACCTTATGACAAAATAACGACTCTAGCTCCTCAATTTCAGACTCGCGCGTTGTCTTATAAAAACGGTATTTTAAAAATACCTCCAATACGTTTGTTGATAATTCTCTCCGATCGTTGTTGACAGGTTTCCCCAATCTCCAAGCAACGTGCAGCGGTGGCCGTACAGCGGTGACGGGCGCAGCAAAGAATAGAAACAGGTGACGTCACCAAACCAAGTCCGAACTGTTTCATCAGGAGCTGTATCGAAAGGAGACATGCGTCTAAAAACAGCAGAACTTGCTCCACCTGTGATTGGAGGATAAAAACGTAGACCACGCCCACTGCCAATTTTTGGAGTATAAAATGAATTCGTGACGTTATCGTTTCACCGGGTCATAGCGCGCGGTGCAATATTTTGCCTAATTAATTCGAACTAAATCGCCCGCTTCAATAGATTCAAAATCACCGAGATTAAGGCTAAGACATGTGTCTATAATAGCCCTTAAGAATTTATAGCACATATTGTAACTCAAAAATCTGTTCTCGCTCCATTGGATAGTTAGCTACACGTCCTACCCGTCATAGCATAGCGTATGCGGCGGGAGTGAGCGGGGTCTATTGCTTTATGCCTCCCAATCACAGGTCGAGAGCAATCCTCTGTTTAGACGCATGTAAAAGGAGTAAGTGCACGCTAAAAGCGGCCAAAATTCACGATTAGTCAGCTTAGTCGTACCTATGAATTATTGTGTTTACCTCGCATAACTTGAGCCTCAATTCTTGCCCTAATCATTAAACTTTATCCGTGTCTAACTCGTTGGTCTCACAAAAATGACACAATCGGCAGATACGGTCAAGACGGTGAACAATGTGGTTTTAGATAACGTATTATATTCGTGAAATCAACAAACCGCTGAACCGAAAATTAATGCTTTTGAAACGCCCTCGTATCGCTTAGCAAATGCAAACATAGCAAAGATACTAGCAGGTTTTGCTAGGGATTTCGGGCCCGAAATTAACAGAGCACGACTTGGTGTTATTGTACTCATTTACGATTAGAAATAAAAAATTTCACTGTTTAGTATGTTTTAAATCCATTTATTTGGTCTTAAGCAGCATATTGATTCTATACATGTACATTACTGTCATTCGACATGCCTATAGATAACACACAAGGCGTGTTTAACTTTCCGAACAATCCCGTAGCAAACCTCGCTAGTTCTTTGCTATGTTTGCATTGCTAAGCGATTAGAGGGCTTTCAAAAGGCATGCGCTGCCCTTTATGTTTCGGCTTCACGGTGTTGTTGATCTTCATATTATAACTTTCTATAAACC